ATTTTAAGATTAATTTGTCTTTTGAAACTATAAAGTTAAAATGTATCTAAAAATGCATATATTTATCTAAATATTTGAAAAAAGGGGCAAATAACTGATACTCTTTATAATTATACGTAATTTTAATTTCACTTTCTGTTAATCGTATTATAAAAACATGGAAGACCATTAAATATTTATTCCAGTTTAATTTTATTACAGGTAAAAGTCAGATGAAATTTTAGTGTTTACTTATACAACACTATTTAATAAATAAAAATATTTTCACAGTAAAATTTATGAGCACTAAATGAAAAAACCCAATTTTCCCCGGGTTTTTTCAAATAAAACCCAATTTTCCCCGGGTTTTTTCAATAAAACCCAGGTGGGTTGGGTTTTTTCAAACCCTGGAATTAGGTATCTAATTCACTTAAAAACACTTTATGTAAATGAAAACATACCTAAAATTTGAGCAAGAAAAAAGTGTATATGGGAAGCATTTATCCATGGAATGTAATCAACAATTTAATGAAAATATCAATGTGAGATTTTATTTAATTATTTAAATTGTGTGACTCAAAATGTGATTTTTAAATCATGCGAATATGAATCTCCATATTTATTCAAAAATTGCGTGAATACGGACCTTGATGTTTGATTTTAAAAACATGAATATGAATTCTGATATATAATTTTTAACTAATTTAAACACAAATCACAATAGTGGTTTTTAAATTGCGTGTAAAAGAAATGCATTATTAGATATGAAATCATGAAAGGAGAACAAGATGCCCTGTCAAGAAAACAAGATGCCCTGTCCTAAATCACGTAAATACCAATCACAATGTGTGTGATTTTAAATCATACAAATGTAGTTTTAAATTGCATTTGAAACCAGCATACCTGAAGGTTAAATACAATAACGTAACCATGGGAAAGATGCGGCTGCCCAAAGCAGAGAAAAAAAATCTGATATCAATCTCTGCCAGATAAGAAAAATCGAATTTTGACTGTTTTTTTTATTACTAATACGAAAGTATTTCCCCAAACAGCATTCACATATATATTACTCATATCTGGTGATTATTTTCACGTAGGTACTGAGACAGAAATCATTAGCCTTTTTTATTTTGGTTTTTTAAAACGGGAAACAATATGAAAATATCAATTAGCAGGGGTCTATCCAGACATTTTGCGACAGGTCCGCCTTTGTAAAATTGTGAAAAAATTACTCGTAATTTGTGAATATAAAATAAACGTTAAGTCACATTCTTTCAACCATGGTCCTGCTTTTGTGAATGTCAGCAAATAAGGTCCTGTTACTTCAAAAAAAATTTTCAAGGAGTTTTTAAATTGTAAAGGCATACAAGATTATGCTCAACACTGTAAAATTATTAATAAAAAAAATTAACTTTTAAAAATTAAACAGCAATTGCTGCTACTAATTCAAGATGCAACATACAAATATTTGGTATTTAGCCTATACTGCTGAACGCAGAATATTCATTTCAGACGAATAATGGAAGAAGCGTCTGCCGAATACAAAACTTGGTTCCTTTACATCTGTCTTTCTCTCCCCCCCCCCCTCCTGGGAAGGGTTTATTTGATTCATAAAACAATAATGAAGATAAACAAATTTGTGAAGGGTCCGATTAAAAGATAAAAATTATTTTGTGAAGGGTCCGTTTTTAAGTTAAAATATTTTGTGAAGGGTCCTTTTTTATGAAAAGATTTTTTGTGAAGGGTCCGTTAACGGACCTAAATTTTTTCTAAACAGACCCCTGATTAGATACTACATTAATAATTTAAATCAGCTTAAAAAGCAGATGTATTATCCTAGATTTTTGACGCTTGTCATCTCAAAAACTCAAGTATTTTTTCTCACGTTTTTCAATATTTATGCATGTTTTATTTTATTTACACAAGTTTTCATTTCAAAATGCTTACTTTCACCAGATGGATTTTGAATGAGATTTATTCCATAAGGATTGTGAATATATATCATTCGATAGTAATGAAGAGGTATCTTTTCAAATTTAAGTGATGGGAAATATTTCTTTTCACGTTCGCATTTAATTTTCCACAGTCCATGCCCATCAATAATTTCTTTCCATAACTTACAAACTAATCGGCAATGAGTGATCAAATCATTGGATGGTACAAACGACAAAACGTCAATTAGCAAATCATCAGGTATTTCGAAATTACAAAACATTTCCGTATTTTCTTCCCCCTCATGACAAGACGCATTTTTTCTTGATACAGATGAACCCATATTTCACACACTATAACAATTAATTGTTCAAAAATACTTTGGTAAAACCTAAAATAAGGAAATTTTTTACATATATTTAATAATTTCGTACGTGTAATTTCTACTTTATATTGACACTTAAAAAGTGAACTTTAGATTTCACTTTCGTATTGATGTAGAGTATGAATTGTAGAGAGTGCAACGAGCACTCTGCGTTGGCTTATAGCTCTGCATATTAATTAATTGTTGTTGCTGTTAATTTACGTCGCACTATTGGCGACGGTCTGGGAAACATCCCTGAGGATGATCCGAACACATGCCATCACAATTTTGATCCTCTGCTGAGGGGATGGCACCCCTGCTTCGGTAGCCCGACGACCTACACGTGACGTCGAGAACTTTACGGTAGAACAGTTTAACGAGGGCCAATACCGCACACCCTCGGTCCCTACGCAGACTGATTCAAGTGGTCACCCACCCACACACTGACCGCAGCCAGTGATACTTGACTTCAGTGATCTGCTGGGAACCGTGTCTTAACGATCAGTCCACTACGGGACTATTAATTAATGAACCTTATGGTTTGAGTAAAAAATCAGAAACGGTTTGTTCCATAGTCCGAGGACGGAAGGACTTCACGATATCGGTAAATGCTAGATTTTGAGGACTGACGAAGTTCTTTACGAACATTCTGGAATGAGGGACACTCCTGACACAACAGTTGACAATTCGGAGCAGGTGATCTGATTCAGAACCCCACCGTGTGCTAGAGGCGTAGTGAAACAAAGAAAGTGTCTTTAAGAATTTTTGTTTTAACGCTCTGAAGTGATAGTGAAGGGTCATGTCGATAGAGAAATGCTGGCTGAGAATTCAAAGGCTTTTGAATACCTTGGATAGATTTGTTGAAAATGTTGAAGCTGAAACTATCAGCAATCCATCTTCTAGAGAAGAACCTCTCAATGAGGAGCTCAGTGCATGAAAGAGGTGTAAATAATTAATTTCTTTTCATCACCTTGATGGATCCCAGGACAATCGTCCCCATATCAGCTCCCAAAACCTTAAACTTCTAATCGCCTGGCAAAAAACTAAATTCCTCCTGACAATTGCAATTACAATTGTGCAAATTGATACAAAGCCCTAACTGTCCGTATTCCGGAGGTGATCGTCGACGCAAATGTTCACTTCCTCCTGAGGAAGTAGGAGGACGTCCTCCGTCCGATAGTAAAACAAAATCCAAACCTCGCAACTCCCGAAGAGAGCGGTGAAGGGAATCCCAGCCCTCAAACAAAGGTTCGGACCCTCCCCCTAGGAAGTGACGTTTTGTATCGATAGTTATAAGAAAGTGACCAATGACTTTTGTTTATCCTTTAATCGTTCTCCCTTCGCTTGGGGGTCGTGACCTCCATCCCAGAGTTTACAGTGTTCTTTCAGAAAGAGAATGTATTCTTCTTTCATTTTGACAATTACATACATAGTCTAAAATAAATATCTACATATTTTAATCTCTAATCTTTCTTCAAGAATTTAATATGTAATACTCGTTTTAAACTTGTTTGCATTATTGTATTAATATTAGAGAATCGATTCACTTATAACTATATTTACTAACAGTTTGCCAAAAAAAAGAAATAATCTTAAAATAAAAAATAATACATCAAATAGTACAAATCAATAATGCAAATCAAAAACATCTTTATTTATTACCTTTTCTAAAAATCATACTTTGAATGTTGTTTTAAATAAATGTAATTGAGTCATTCAGAAATTTTATCACTAGATTATGAAACTTCAGAAATTATATGTATATTATCGAGAGCTTTTAGATTTAAAGAACTAATGATTAATAAGGGTTATTTAATTTCACAAAATTTTGCAATTTTCTATTTTTACTTATTTTATTATTTATAAAATTTTTATTATATTTATGATTACTTTATTACCTTCTATTATTTATAATTATTATTTTCTTTTTAATATTTGCAATTGATAAAATGTGTAGCTTTATACTTTATACCACTAAAATCTTTTAGTTTTAAAGCTACAATAAGTATCAAAATAACGCGCAATAAATAAGCTTTAATAAATAGGTAGAATGCATGAAATAAACTTTAAACTAGCATTTTTTAAATAATTGTTAGTTTAAATAATCTGAAAAAAAATTTGCATTACAATTTTAAAAAAAACTGCTTTTTCAATTTTTCACTTTCTTTTTTGTTATGATTCCTCTTTTTTTTTTTCGCAATTGCAAACTTATACACTTTAATAATTGCAAGTTATTTTTTCAAAAAAGCATTATTTTCTTCTCTTTTATAATATTTTTTATAATAAATTACAATTCGCAACTCGAACAATGCAATATTTATTTTTCAAATTTAATAATTTATCTCTTTTTTGAAAATGGTATTTTCAATCGTTGTGTTATATTGAACTAGATTTGGAAAAAAATTCTCTGCAATTAATTTTTTGCCTTTTATTATTCTCTTACATTAAACCCAACTCAGAAGACAAGGATGCCAAGTAGTTGTACTTTATTTAAGAATTTCATGCTAGAGTAATTAGTTGCACAATTTCACTATTGTCGTTCTAACCATAAGGGCAGTTCGTGATTTTTTTTATATCACAAATTCGTTTTTAAAGTTTAACTCGTTACAAGTATTTTTAATACTTTCAATTAAACACATTTTCAATTTCAAAATATCCTCAATTGTTTTTATATTTGATGCTGGATTTTATTTTTTTTGCATTATCATTTACCATTGTGTATGTAAATAAATTATGAAAAAGTAATTCGGAAAAATATTTGTTTTAAGTGCCACATAAATTTGCAAGAGACTTTTTGAATTAGAATTAATTGCATCAATGAGGATAACTTAAAATATTATTCGAATAATACCAAAAAAAACTAGTATAATAATTACCAATGAATACAGGTAAAACAGAATATATTAGTTAATATTTAAAAATTAATAATACTTAGCAAATTATTAAAACTTAGCTAATATTTAAAAATAATTAACAGAGAAAACAATTATGCTTGGTTTTTTTCTCTCCCTAAAATTTGTAATACTAACAATAAGTATTTTCAAAAATTCAAATGTCAAACAACAGTTTAAGAAATAACTAAAAAGTTTTCTTTAGTCTAGAATTTTTTTAGTACAATTTTTAAACAAAATATTTAAAACAACGTGATTTTTTTAAAATTTTTTTTAATGTTTATTTTAAAAATTTTTTTTTCTTAAAATACTACATAATTTTCAAAAAACAAATTTTCGAGTATATTTCGATGTCATAATTATAAGACTAGAAATATAAATAATTTTTTCTTGGAATATTGAGAACAGGAAAATTAAGGAAATAAATAATAAAAAAAGGTTTCTTAATTATGCATCTTAATTTATCAGCAACTTTAAAACAATTAATTCAAAAACAATTTTATTAAAAAAGTTTTCTTTCTTTATATTCCGGTCTTTTTATTACGCTCTTATATGGAATCCAACTCAGAAGACAAAGGTGCCAAGTCGTGAGAACTTTGTTAGAACTTTTGGGAGTTAGACCTTTTAGTTATACATTTCCATTGTACAGCAATGGAAAATGGTCTAGCCATAAGGATTATTCGTGATTTTTTTTTTATTACAAATTCTTGTTAGTAGTTTAGCTCGATGCAAATATCAACTAGTTTTCGTTGCACACATTTTTAATAACAAAATTCTCTCAATTGTTTTTCTGATTGACGCAGGATATTTTTTTCTTATGATTTACCATTCTGTATATAAATGAATTATGCTAAAGCAATTCAAAAGAAATTCTCTCTTTTTACACGTCGCATAAATTCGAAAAAAACTTTTTGAAGTAGAATTAATCGCATACATTAAGATAATTTAAAGTATTATTTCAATAAAAACATAATAACGCTAGTTTAATAATAAGAAATAAATATAAGTGAATATCTTTAGAGTAACTTAGCTGATACTTAATGGAGAATCTCAAAACAGAAAAGAAAGTAATGATTAAGTTTTTTTTTCCACCCTAAAATTTGTTATTTACCATTTTATTAAAGGAGTAATTATTTTAAAAAGATCAAATGTCAAACAGAAGATTAAGAAATAACTCTAAAACGCTTTCTTATTCAACTGCTTTTTTAATGCTATTTCTAACAAAAAAAATTTAAAAAAGGGGATTTTAGAAGTTTTTTAATCTTAATCTTAGCAAATTTTATTCCTAAAAATAATACATAATTTTTCAAAAAATAAATTGTCGAATATATTTTGGCATTATAGATATAAGATAATAGATATAAGATATATAGATATAAGAAGTAAAAATATCTTTTTGTCTTAGAAAATAAAAGATGAAGTTTTCGCATTTTAAAGTATGAACAGAAAAATAAAAAAAATGATAAAAATGCTTCTTAATTATGCATCTAAATTTAACTACAACTTAATAATTCAAAAACGATTATATCGAAAAAATTTCCGCTCTTCATATTCCATGCTTTTTATTACCCACTTGTATTCTACCCAACTCAAAAGACAAGTGAAAATAAATGAAATTATGCTTCTTAATTATGCATCTAAACTAATCAACTACTTTATAAAAATTACAAAACCGATCATATTCTAAAAGCTCCAGTTCTTTCAAATCTCTGATAGAAAATTGCATAGCGGATTAAAAATAAGTATACAATTTATAGTAATTCTTATTTCAGTGGCGTACGCAGAATTTTTTCGAGGGGGGTGTTCATAATTTTCTGAAATTACTAAAAGAAATTCGAGTAGATAATAAAGCACTATTATTTCCCTAATTTAGACAGCTAACAATTTTTAGTTTTTATTTAGACAGCATTGTTTAGTTAAATTTTGATTTGATTTTTTAAGTTGAAGAACATAGTTGAAGAACATCTTCTCGCATGTAACATATCTTCTGAAAAAAGTCCAATGTCCTATGGGTAGTAACACTTTGAGGGCCACTTTCACATTCATCAGATTTTGTTATACTAGAAACGTTTTCTTCAACGGAAGTATAACATTTCTGTTCAATAGAAAAACTTACATTGGTACCAGATGCTGTCACCACACTAATTTCAGGTCGTGATTTTTTCTCAAAATGATTAAAAATTGTTAAATTCTTGTGTTTTGGCATCCTAAATATCCAAGAACAACAAATATATACATAGATTTATTGGCATAGAAATATCCGCTATGCTACGATCTCA